AATATTTTACTACCTCTCTGCTTATTCCCTTCCTTTGAGTTAAATACCTACATGTCTCTGAAGAACACCTGTAATTCTAAACTCACTTCCTTGTCTTGTAGCGAAGAGCACTGGTTCCTTTTGCAGAGGACCTGGGTTCGATTCCCAGCAGCCACACGGTAGCTAACAAGCATCCATAACTCCACTTCCAGGGGATCCAGCAACCTTTTCTGACCATCTCAGGCATTGAACAACATAGGTGCACTTACATACAAGTAGACGATATAGTCATACACATAAAATAAAAATAATAGATTAAAAATAAAAAAAATTTCATAATCTCTGCTACCATTGACAAATGCTGATTGGCATCATTGTTGTCAACTTGCTTTGAAAGTGCCTGCTGATTCGTTATCCCAAGATCCACGAAGATACGCACTTTCTTAGTTCCTTTTTACTCCTAGCTCTGGTCGACTTCATGGACTCTATCAACCGACAAATCTGTGCCAAAGGAACGAACTGCTTTCGAGCAGAGATTAGCCTTCACCTCAGTTCTTTGTGCCTTGTCATTCACTTTCAGACTTTCGGTAGTCTACTAGATGCGGTTTTCTTTTACATGGCTAAACAACAGTGTAATAATTACTGTCCAGTAAAAATCCACAGTCTTGGACATTGACAACAAGATGGAATATTTTGAAGCCATGTGAGCTTTAGATAACGCCAATTATGGTATAATGATAGTATATAGCGATGAATGCCCATTAAAATTTTCTAGAGTTTTGACAACTCAGTTTCCCACAATTCATACCTACCTTGTAGAATAGGTTCTAATGTGCTTGTCTTATTTACTTCAGGTACTGCTCTGATATCATTCAAGTAGCTAAACATGTCTCACAACTAAAGTTATTTTACATTCTATCAACAGACACTGAAATTGTGCAATGCAACCGCATAGTGGGATAATGAATGTAAACATCATAACAATACAAAGCAATACAGAAAATGTCCCCTTGGAGCAACAGAATGTAGTCAGGAGACTAAGTAGAATTTCCTATTCCTCAGTGAACTGTAAAATCATTGGTGAAAACTGTGACCCATAATTTACAAAGCAGCCCAAAATATATTGGAGATGGAAAGATTTCCCCCTTAATCTTCCTCTATCAATTTTTAGTCTCCTTTCAAAAAAGTAGAGCCAAGTCTTCTCTCATCCTGACAGACAGCTTCAAGTTAGTGACCCTTGTACATTAATGTTCTGCTTCCACCTCCCAAGAGTATGTCTTGATTTTATTTTCTATTGCTTTCATAAAATACTTTGACAAAATAAATGTAAGGGAGTAAAAGTATTTATCCCACAGCTCCAGGTCACAATCCTGGGGGGATATCACAGAGACAGGAGCCTGAGGGGATGGCCATATCACAACCATAATCAGAACCAGAGGACATTGAAGACTGCCTGCTAGTGCTCAGCTCTCTTTCTCCACTTCTGTCCAGTCCCAGATTCCCTGCCTAGAGAATGGTGCCTCCCACAGTGTGTGGGTCCTCCAGTGGGTCCCCCCACCGCAATTAACATGCTTAACATTTTTAAGGCGTGCCCAGAAGTCCATTCCTAGGAAGTTCTAAGTTGTATCAACCTGATAATTGGTGCCAATGAATGAAGTGATTAGGGGAAAAGACACAAATGTACTGTTTTATTAGGCTATTTAAATAAATTCTGTTTAGGAGTTCAAATCTAGAATGACTGAATTATGAGTATAATTCAATATATTTTCTCATATCTAAATAAATATCCAAAGTGTTAAAATATCTAAATTTTGAATTAATTTTAGAAGATACTACTTTTTGGTTTGATTTAAAGAGTACATTTATAGAGTTTGTTTAAGGAAGGTTTTTTTCCAGTAGACATAATGGAAAAAATATGTGCATATGTTAAGATAATATTTTTTGAGTATGATAACTACATCTGTAGTTTGTGATAACATATTCTCTGTCTACTAAAAAGGAAATCAAAATCCTTTTCCTAGCTAAATTATATATTTGGTCAGTCTAATACTGGTCATTTTTCTTCTGTCAAATATATTTAAAATGCCATCTTTTCAGGAATTTATGTATAGATCATTTAAAATCCAAATGAAATAAAGCCACCTTGATTTTTGTCTCCCGTGTTTTCCTGAAGATAAAAAATCAGACCCTGTCTCAAAAAAAATCATTCTTCAATTAATTGGAAAAGTAGAATATGAGAAAAAGTATATGCTTAAGAGTTAGCATTTGCTTGTAATCCCAGCATGGAAGAGATGGAGACAACAAGATCCCTGGGGTTCTCTGGCCAGCCAATCTAACTAAATCACTGAGCTCTAGTTCAACAAGAGACCCCGTCTCAAAGATGAGGTCAATGGATCCTGGGAAATGACGCCTATGGTTAACCCCTCTGGCCACACACACAGAAACATACACACACACACACACACGTACCCTAAAATAAAAGTTACTCAACAAAGTTTTTCAGAACTCGGAAAACATACCTAGATAAATTCTTCTAAACTGCTCTGTCAAGAACAATTTTCCATACAACAAGAAAGCCTGGATTATCTGAGTTCAGGAATGTCTCTTTGAGCCCTGATATTTCAGAAGAAAGAGAAGAAAGCAACAGTGTTTACACTTCAAAATTCCGAGGTATTAGCCTTAGGAAGATGAGACTGAGATAAGGGGGAGCCACCAGGGTTTCTAGGAACTTTCCAAACAAAAGCAAAGAGTGCTTTGAATGAATAGAGTATCTAAGAATTGTAAATACTGTGTTTGTAAGCATTCAGTGTATTCAAGTCTTCCTAAAGTCCTTCAGTCAGTGGTCCAGGTATCACTCCTTCTAGTAGGGTTTCCTAGCTCTCTCAGTCTTGTTTGAAGTGTATGGAGAAATGCGCTTCTATCACAATATTATTTTTAAGTTCCCTCCCCTTTTGCATCAGTGCATTGACTACAAATTCTACAAAAGACTCTCATAGACTGTAAGCTATTTGGGAATGGAGACTCTGCCCCAAAGTCTTCCTTTTCTTCCACTAGCCCCACAACCAATGTCCCATTATATAGAGTCATCCAGTAAATGCCTGCTAGATGATGACAAAGCCATGATTGGAGAATGTGTGTTGGCCTGAGTAGTTTACATTCAGTCATAGACTGTGGATAATGGGTAACCATTACGACATCAAGCAAGAGCCATAAATTCTAATTCCTATTAGAGCTCTATGTAATAAAAATGTAGGAAGTTAAAATAGATTTTTCTAGAATTAAAAGGAAATTATAGATCATCTATCAAGTTGACTTATAAACATCAGATAATATAATAGTTGGTCACAGTATCAGAGAGACAAATAACAATGTGGACAAGAGGGAATATATTCCCTGTGTTAAGTGGTTACCTCTCTCAACCTCAGCATATGCTAGCAATAAGGAAAATCAGGACCATATTTCTAGATACACCAGTTTTCAAGAAGAACCAAAAATTTAGCACAAGCACATGTTCCTTAATACTGGGGAAATAATTCTGAAAAAATGTTTGACTGTCCAATATCCTCATTATGCAAATGCCACAGAATGTACTTATATAACCTAAGTACTACCATCTGCAAGTATAGCCTCTGAGCTCTAACCTATTCTTCCTAAAGCACAAGCCTCTATAGCATGTTGTTTCACTGAATATGGTAGGCAATTGTGATACAATGGTATCTGTAAGAGCTAAACAAATTTAACACAGAAAAAGTACATTAATATATAAAAGTTGAACTACTACATGTATATAGAATACTTACAATGTGTGGAAGACGAAATTTGCTCTAGCTAGTCAATGAATGAGTGGGGAAGGAAGAAAAGCCTAGGACAGCTCTATTTAATACCATAGGTGGTAGGCAATTGTGATACAATGGTATCTGTAAGAGCTAAACAAATTTAACACAGAAAAAGTACATTAATATATAAAAGTTGAACTACTACATGTATATAGAATACTTACAATGTGTGGAAGACGAAATTTGCTCTAGTGAGTCAATGAATGAGTGGGGAAGGAAGAAAAGCCTAGGACAGCTCTATTTAATACCATAGGCTGCAGATGCTGCACTCTTAAGCTGCTAAATTCATTAAAACATCTTTAATAATAAATTAATCATTGTTTATAGTAATTCTTCACTTCAGAAGATTTTAAAAATTTTAGCATTTGACTCGAAGTAACATATAGCTTAAATTACAAGCACATTATATAGCTGTACCAAAGTATTATACTTAAATTTGGTTTTGGTTTTTTTTTTTTTTTTTTGATACACACTTTGAGAATCAGGAAGAGGACAAGCAGAAATTATTTATTATTTATTATTTATCTGCTTTATTTTTACTATTTGTGTATGAGTATTATGCCTGCATGTGTATAAGTGCACCCCCCTAACGTGCATTGCCAACCTTTGAGGAAAGACGAGGGTATCAGATCTTCAGGAACTGGAATTACTATGGCTGATTGTTAGCCACGATCTGGGTGCTGGGATTCGAACGGGGTCTTCTCCAAGAACAGCCAGTGCTCTTCACCACTGAGCCATCTCTCCAGCCCCAGAATTTTAATGAAGTTCTCTAGGCAGAATTTAGAGAATGGAGTAAGCACATTAAAAAGTTTAGTTTCGAAGAGAAATACATTTACTTTCAATCAAGTTAAGAGCCTGTATGAATATTTTATATGAAAGTAAAAGAATTTTCGAATTCATTTCCCAGGGCATCTACTTCATTTTATAAACTTCTGCTTCTTTTGCTCTGGCAGGTTGATAAACTTACTTCAGTTTCCCAGTGGCAGGAGCACTAACAAAGGACTGGGTCTACGAATTGAGGAGCCAAAATTCCAGTTCCTCACATCTCATGCTCTTTTCCTTTTTACTGACATTGTTATTAAGTTACTATGCCTACTACATTTCCCACAATCCTCCTCAGATCTTGTTCCACCCCGTTAGTTCTTTTGTTCTCCCTCCTTAGACTCTGACAGGCCATAGAGAAATCTGGTTTCAAAGAGACACTCACGTTTTGTACTGATGCCACCTAGGAATGTCCACATTCACTGTCACACTGCTAAGCGGAGCAAGGTAAGAGCTTGCAAAAGTCTTGATATTTTCTTGCCTTTAAAAACATTTCAAAGAAACAAAATGTTTTATTTTCAACCACTGTCTTTGTCACTTATTTTTTGATCCATCTCTGAAAATCAAAATGCAAAAACAACCCCAAAATTCGCGATATCGCTGCTTTGTGTAGTTGAAACATGACATTAGTTAAGATTACAAAGAATTCTGAAAGAAATCTTCTGTAAGACTGCCAAAGGCGGAATCCAGCTAAGCGGATTGGAACATAAGTGTTGCACAAATGATCTATTAAGAAAAAATAAAAAGCTACTATTTTGTGTGATTACATGTCATTATAGTAACACAATGACAGACACTTTTAAGATAATTAACATCAGTAAGTATATGTTAAGATTTTATTCTGAAATCATTTCTTTATGAAGTATTTTTCCACACTTTATTAATAAAAATTAATACTTAAGAGAAAAATGTATTAAGAAAATTTCAATGACTCAAAGCCAAATTTATTACTCTGGTAGTAACAAGATAATTCTTTAAAAATTAAATCTTACTGTAAGTGGGTAATCCTATTTTCCAACTAGTGTATATTGTGGTTCTGTCTTAAATGTATGCATTTAAGTATGCTTGACTACTGTCTGGGATTGATACAACAGTAGTATAGTGCAATAAGCTGTGTATGTTGTTTGCACAGTTGCAAGTTATTAAAGCAATTCTTAGCAATTAGCAGTGTTCCTCTGAAAGGAATGAGATACATGCATCATTAATTTTCAACACAACTTTGCATAATTGGAATGACATGCAATTTGATCTATTAAGCTACAAATTAAATGCAAAACATTTAATATATACCAGAGAGTTGTACTCTGAAATTGCATAACTGTCCATTGTGTGGTCATTTCCTTCTTTGCCTCCTCTCTCAAAACATGTAGAAGTAATGCCATAAAACACTGTGTGGGAAGAGGGAATGACAGGAAACAATGAAACCCACAAAGGCACCCCACGGTGTCCAATCATGAGCCACTTCTTCAGGCAAGTAGAAAAATCTAATTTGCATTCCACTTTTTTCCAGTTCTCTATTCTTCCTCAGACAATGTATTCAATTAATAAAATAGACCCAAATAACCTAGATTGATTATACAGTATTTCTCTTAAAAAGTCAAGATGTAACTTCTCCAACTTCTGATTGGAGAATCTATCTTTATGGAGACTCATGTACCTGTGAAGAGAGTAAAGTGATATTCCTCATAGTTTTTTTCAAGTTAGCTTTAGTGTGTTGCAACATGAAAGAGTATCACTTTATTCAGAATGTTAGCACTTTATTCTGCTTAAGATTTTCCACAGTGTGGACAATATCAGCATCATGTATTTCTCCATCAGGCCCAACATGGTGTATTCCTGGTACCTTCACATACCTTCCTTCTTTTTTGTTTGTTTGAGCTTCTTTTTCAATTTTTAATTTTCTTTAACTTTTTAAAAAAGTATTGAGAATTTCATACATACATATAAAATGTTTGAATCAAATCCATGCCCACTCCCTCTCCTGCAACTCCTCCCATATCTCTCCATCATTATGGTGATATAAATACTAACTAGTATTTGTCTTAGATATTTTTCTAAATGTGTCAGTACATGTTATATCATTTAATTCACAGGGGTTAAGACAATTGAAAGAACAGGTTGTCAGGGTAACCTAATGATTTGATTACCAATGTTTCTATAAGCAAAGTTGAGCCAAATCCACCATTTTGTGTTTAGAACCCTTATTCTTAATGCTCTACCATAGTCAACCTTGACAATATTTCAGCAGTCTTCAAAGCCTCCCCCTTGCTTGATTGAACAAGCAGGCCCATAGTCTCAGAACTGGCTTAGTTATTCTGTTCCTTGTGCATTAGTTTGCATCTTTTTACGTCTTGGAGCATGCTCCTTGCCACTTAGCATCTTTCCTCTTCAGCGGGGGCCTTCTCATCTGTTCCTAGCTATTCTACCCCAAATAATCTAAGTTGCTTAAATTGTCATTATAGCCAGTGTAGAGGCACAAAAGTGATTATCTCTCAATAAATATATTTCCTGAAAACATTCATAGTAAAGACACAAAAACCTGAAAACTATTACATTGACTGTAATTATGTATAATGGTCTCAGGATGCATGCAGAAACTTACTTTCATGAGCCTGTCCAGATGAGTTTACTTCTGACTACTAATAGTAGGTCTTGAGGTCCTTCTGACTAGTGAAGCACTAAACCACAACATTTCTAAGACCTGCTGTTCTTCATTTAGCTACAGGTCTTAAGTTTGTCTAGATGGTGGTGGCTATGATATATGTTGAGTTCAAGTTACTAAAGGTTTTACTGTCATAATTTAAAGTGGACTTTTCACCTTCAAGTTACACATGTTACTATATATGTACATACATAGGTGCATGTGTATGTATTTGTACATATATAAATGTCTATATATATATACGCCTTTAATCCCAGCACTTGGGAGGCAGAGGCAGGCGGGTCTCTGAGTTCGAGGCCAGCCTGGGCTATATAGCGAGTTCTAGGACAGCTGGGGCTATAGGGAGATCCTGTCTCAAACAAGACAATATATATATATATATATATATATATATCAGGTTTTTAGACTCACCACTGGAAAGAAACCTGTTTTATATAATGGAGCATCAAAAAATCACCACCAGAACACATTGAGTGCATTGGCTGTTTGGCTCTTTGTGTTCTGAAGTCTTCAACTAATGTTTAGTCTAATAAATATTACACACTATGTTGTTTATTAATAGCCATGGTTAGTATTTCAAGAGACTCAATGCAAGAAACAATGATGATGATGAGGTCTGTTTGAATATTTAGTCATGTTTTAAATGTATATATGTTTATTTTGTTTTTAGAGATTAAAGACTGTCATATATATATTATAT